AATACTAATCAAAATGAATAATTAAGATGGGCTAAATATAACTCTACGAATATTTGTTATGAAAAAACACATGTTGAAATTTTATTTTTAATTGTTCAATAACAAACTTCCTAAGAGTAATTCCAACATTTTTATGCATTTTACATGGTAAAAGAATATTAAATTTACATTTGTATTTTGCTCCGCCACTTTACATAATGTTTGTTGTGACAACAATCTCTACTCTATTAAATTATTCAAATTAACTCAACCGACCTTCAAAAGAATAATGTTATATATGTATGACAAAAATGTTATAATTTTAATGGCATGCTATATAAACATTCAGTTTTGACATAATTATTGACGTGACGTTTGTGCAAGGCTAATTTTATTTTTTATATTATTTTAAATATAATATAAAAACCAATTAGAAATACCAACTTAGCATAATTGGGGGTAAACTTTGATGAACCATGAATGAGTACGGTTAGGGTTCACATAAAGAAAAGCTTTTGTAAAAGCTTTGATGTAATCCCAATAGGTGAATTTTGTGACCAATTTGCTTATGATGTAAAAATTGGGGCTTTTCCCAAACTAAGCCCCTATACTAATTTATTTCCTAAACTAAGTTTAGTTAGGCCGAATTTCTCAAACTAAGCTGAATCGTGTTTATAAAACACGCTTTCAGCATGTTTTTGGCCCAGGTAGTGGAATTATGAAAGCGTGGTTAGAAAACACGTCTTTACTTAAGAAAGCACTGTTACTATTAGCGCTTTTAGGTAAAGATCGCATGATTTGGAAACACACTTTTATATAGCGATCCCGATTGTCCCTTTACTGTTCTGTTGTATTCTAGACTCGGTTCCGTGAAGTTGGTAGTTGTATCTATCTTGTTGTCGTCCTTTAATTCTGCTTTATGGGTTTTTGGATGTTTTGGGCAGGGTTGTTACAGGTTGGTTAGGCCTGGGTTTCAATTCCTTGTTGCCCAGTTTTTAGGCGGTCCGCTCGAGCGGGTCTTCTTACGCACGAGCGGGTATTGCACACCCCCAGTATTTCGTGTCCCTGCAAAACTTCTGCAGGTTGATTTTTACGCTCGAGCGGATTTCTTTACGCTCGAGCGGTGGCGCTCGAGCGGTACTCTGGCGCTCGAGCTGGTAGTACCTTCTTGGTGTAAGTTCTGGAAGGGGGAATCTACGCTCGAGCGGACTGGTTTTCGCGCTCGAGCGGATGTGTTTTATTCTTGTGTCTTGGCGCTCGAGCGGACCTAGTTTTTGTTCTTGACGCTCGAGCGTTGTGTTTTCCGCTCGAGCGGGAATGTCGTATATCAGTTGGCTGTGGGGCAATTTTAAATCACTTTTTCTCATTCTTTCTCTCTCTTACTTTTCCGAAAAAGCCATTTGAGAGCTCCTCTCTCTAAAACCTTAACTTCTCTCTAGGTATTGATCTAGCTAGGGTGTTTTCCTCACCTTGGCCTTTACAAAAGAGTTGTTGATCGTCGAGGGCTATCTTTTGATCCGAGAAACTCATGGTTTGGAGCAATTTCGTTTCCACCATCTTCTTCGTTGGGTGTCATCTTTTGAGGCAGGGATTCCTACTCACAACTATTGGTTTTGACCTAGATATTTGGGTATTTTGTTAAATGGTTGAACTTGGGAAGTTAGGGTTTGAAAATGTTGAAAAGGGGTTTTGTTATTTTGATTCAAAAATATGTATTTTGGGTTCCAAAATAATGATATTGTTGTTAGTTATGGATATATAGGCCATTGGGTCAATATTGGGAAATGGGTAGAAAACCCTAATTTGTGGAATAAATTAATTGGTATAATTAATTTGGGAAAATTGTAGCTATATGGAATTGAGTTGGAAATAATGAAATTGGTTCATTATATGGTTGAATTGTGGAGTTAGATTTATTAATCGCTCACTTTTGAAAACATTGATATTTTATATGTTGGAGCTTTTATTATCTGTTTAGAATAATTGCTTGGACTACCGGTGGAGGGTAGTTTTGATTGTTGTAGACAATGCATGATGATTAGGCAAACTAAAACTAATCAATTGGATATGTCATAGACTATGACAGTTGATAGAATACATTGACGTTATGTATTGATTGATTGCGTATATGACCTTTGTGTATATATGTTGTGGTGTGTGAGAGGAGATAGAGGATGTACTCCACGGTTTAGGGGAAGATAGAGGATGGACCTCTAAACCGGATGTTGTGTGGGAGGAGATAGGGGTGGACTCCACTGATACAGCTCATATGCTTGTCAGATAATGTGTTGATATAGCTCATATGCTTATCTTGGAAGTGTTGACACAGCTCATATGCTTGTCATTGAAGTGTTGATATAGCTAATATGCATATCTGTTGAAATGTGGATATAGCTTGTATGCTTATCTGTTGAGATATTGATATAACCAGTGTGTTTATCTATTGTATATGGGAAATGTTTAATATGAGTCATTGTCTCATATAAGCGGTTGGCCAGGTTCTGAGCCGTTGATGTAAATTGTGAAATTGATAAGAAATGGAAAGTGGAATGGAATGGAAATGGGTTATGAATCGGTTTATGGAAATTGAACATTTATCAATTGCTAATGTCTTAGTCATTGCTCATACTGTGTTTAGCATATCTCTACTGGGCTGTGGCTCACCCTTTATGGGACATCATTTTCAGGTACAGGTAGCATGCCACCTCCAAGGACATAGCTTGGGAGGCTAGAGGCAGGCGGATTGTTTTGCTTATTTTCTTTTGGTGTATTACATGTAAATTCAAGCCAAGGGCTTTTTGTGTATTGAGTTAGTACTCCCTTTTGTAACCAAGTGTTAACTTGGAAAGCTATAAGCCTGTAGGGCATTTGCTTTTGTTGTTAACATGTAATACAGTTGTAAGAATTACTCTGATGAATAGGAATGGTCGGTTTCTTTTATATCAATGCATGTCTAAAATGATGGATTTTATGTATTATTTTGAGGGCGCTACATTTAACAGAAACCCGTTATAAAATGGCCCACCCCCCCTTATTTGCAACCACGCTTTCTTCCTCATCTCTTTCTTTTCCTCCCAAAACCCCAACTATAGGCAACCTTCCTCCCTCTGTCTATCGCTCTCTACTCTCTTTCTCTCTCTAGGTCACTCACAATCACTTTCCCTCTCTCTGTCGCTCTCTGCTTTCTCTCTCTCTCTCTCTATGGGTCGCTCACAGTGTCTCTCCCTCTCTCCGAGCTCGTCTCTCTCGCAGGTATATCACTGTCTATCTCTCTCTCTCGCTCTCTCCGAGTTTGAATTTTATTTATGTTGATTTTGTTTATGTTGATTTTGTTTGTGAAAATGCAAATGTGGGTAGAATAGTAAGGGAGGAAGTTTAGAAGATACCAATGTGGGTTAGGGCTAGGGTTCTGTGAATTCAAATTGGGTTGTTGAAAGGGTTAGGGCTAGGGTTCTGTGAATTTAATCCAGTGGTACATAGCTTTTGCCAAAGTGATAATCAATAACCATTGAAGCTGAACTTCATGAAAAAGGGTTATTTTAGAATTTAAAACATTTAAATCGAAAAAAAAAACACACATTTTTCTTATTATTTTGAACAAACTACACCTCACAACCAATTTAATAGTGTTTGTTTATAAGATTTAAGCTGTTCAAATTATAAATTTATCCTTTTGCTCAGCAAATTAGCTTCAATGGTTATTGATTTGTAAATTCTTAGAAACTATTTTTAAACAGATTTGTAAAATATTTCGGTTCCATAATTTCTCATTTGAAGTCATATGAGGTCTTTTTTTAAGTACTTGTATATGACGTCTTAAAATTAACAATTTATTGATAAATTTCATCATTAAAATCCAGATTTCACAACCTTATGTTTTATAGAATTTATTTAGAAGTCAATGATAAACCATACCAAAAGTGGGTGAGGTAGTGTCAAACGAAGGTAAGGTGGCATGTCCTATTAAGAAAGGGATGTGGTACAGCTAAGACGAGAATATGCAATTGAAGGGTAGGGGGGAGAGAGGGGATCCCAAAGGTCTATCTATATTAGTTGGGGGAGTCTAATGGCTTTATGGATAGTTTATTAATTTATTAATTAAATCAAGACCTAGTTAATTATCACTCTCTTAACAATGAAAATTGTGCAGATACATTCTTTTAAGAGGTAGTCTAAAGGGTTGAATTGATATATTTTAAAGTTGAGAAGGTCAAAATACAAGAGCTCATAAATTAAGGGACATAGTGATATCCATTAGTAGTTAAGAGAGTTTTGGTGTGATTAACCATTTATTTTATAAACCCTTGAGTAATGTTAGACACTCTAAAAATTATACCAAAGTTTTTACCAAATGTTTCATATGGGTGTGGAACCCACACAATGTGAGTCCATGTGGGTCATACATCTATGTGAGACATTTGGTAGAAATTTTGGTAGAATTTTTGGAATCTCTAGCATTTTTGTAAACCCTTTAATTGGATTCATTAGTTGCTACGGGTGGAAGATTAAAAAATATACAAACAAAAATTCATAGAAATTTTTATATAAAATAATGTGACTTAGTAAGAACTTTTCATTTTAACATAAAAATAGTTATGAAGATGATTTATATATAAAAAAATGACACTATAATATCATTATTGTGATATTTTTATTTTGGAAGAATTAATATATAGTGAGACAGAGAGAAAAAATATACACAAATATGGATGGGTGCAACTCAGAGTAACATCCTCATAGTGTTTGAGTTGCAACCAACCACAGAACAACTTGCATTCTTCATGTTTGGGCAATGTTTTTCCTTGGCCAATGACAAGTAATTAACCCTTTTATTTTTATATAAATTTTATAACTAAATAAACTCTTCCAAGGAAGAATTAGATGTCAATAAGAATGTTAACATGCCAAGAATGACGGTAACATTAAAAGTATGGGCCAAGAATTTAGTGAGCAACGTAATGGCTTGAAATCAGCAGAATATTAAAACTGCGCTCCTTTGTTTTGCTTGCATAGGGTTGGCTTGGTTTGGTTTTGGTTCCAGTGCATGATTGGTTCTGTCCTGCACCCAAAAACCTGGGACTGATCATGATTGGTTTGGTTCTGAGTTTAAGGCTAACTAGAACCAAAGCAACCCATGTGCACGCCTAATCATATTTATGCCAATGGTAGTCATCTTCACCTTTATCCCAATTATTTAACATTTCTTCAGTCATGGAATTCTTCTAATTGTCTTTCAGAGAAGCCATCACTGGATGAGCAGCAGTACGACATGAAGGCAAACTATGGTACTAAGACCTTAGGCAAATCACAGAGATACAACCATCTTCGAAAATCATTTGCCATAGAAGAAGATGACTTTGAAGAAGAGTCATCGGCTGCGATTTCTCAGCTCTTCCATGGCTTCTTTACCATTGGTACTCTTGGTTCAGACACAGTCATCGCTGACCCATCATCAACACCAACATTCGCCATCTCTGTTGAGAACATAACTGAAAAAGAAACAGAAGTAACAGAGCATGATTTGAAGCTGATTAATGATGAGTTGGAGAAGGTGCTAGGAGTTGAAGGTAAAGAAGATGGTTGCAATGACTCATCTGGGGAGAAACAGTCATGTTAGCACCATTACACTGAGTGGCAAGACATTGGAAGGCACAGAGACCAGTGGGAACAGAACAACAATGTGTCCACTCCAGGGCTATCTGCTTGGGTCAGCAATTGAGTTGCCAGAAACAAAGAAGGAACATAGAACATCACTTGGGGAGCTGTTTCAGAGGACAAAAATGACAGAGGAAAATTCTGTCGCTAAATGCGAGAGCGGAGAAAAGAAGGCAGACAAGGAAACAAATAAATCTGCTATACGTCTCATGAAAAAGATACTGAAGAAAAGAATGGTCCATGATTCCTCTCGGACCTCCACCACAGTGACTGGGGGAAATGTTATCTCTGCTTCAATGGAGACGAAACTGCATAAGGTATGTCTACTTCTAGTACTGAATGATAGATCTTCTAGATGGGATATATGGAGCACTGCAACTCCTGACATAGTTTTGTTGTGATCATTGCAACATCATCTGTGATTTGCTTACAAAGAACATACTGTGTAGTGTGATCAAACCAATCAGATGATTTGCACCATCCAATCATTAACGTTGCAAGATGGTTCCTCCATTTCTCTAGATACACTTCAAGTCTTAATATGTGCTTATAACTGAATATCTTTAATGCTACGGTACTAGGAACACGAATTGTTCTGATACAAGAAATAGAAATGCAGTATCTAACATGCTCAGTACGATACTGGTTGACTTGTTTTGATCACACTATTAGTATTAAAGGTACTCAAAATGCTATATTACAAGAACTCAGGTACAGTTGTTGGCTTTTGAGCATGTGCTTAAGCTTCATATTTGTCTAATTCCCATGTCCAAGGACATGAGAGCATGGCAAAGTATTGCTAATTTTTAATATCCTCCTTTTATTTTCAGGGTAAAATAGTACTTACAATGTGACATATAGAATTTCATACATAACATAAGAGTTTTATGCATAATTATATGTAAACTCAAATTCCTAAACATACTTTGAATTCTGCGTTCAGTTTTTTAATTTTACAATTTGCTGCACGCAGATCCTCCACATGTTCCACAAGAAAGTCTATCCTGAAAACTCAACTTCTGCATGGAAATCAGATAAGCCCCACAAGAATGAACCAAAGAACAACATCACCTGTGAGGAGGGGTACTATGACGGAGATTATATGCACCCAGGTGAAGATATCATAATATTGTTAGGATCAAAGACACCCAGAGAATTATCTCACACACACAGAGAACACAATATTTACGTGGTTCGGCCTAATGCCTACATCCACGGACAGAAATGAGAATTATCACTAAAATGGAGCAAAAATATAAATACAGAGGAGGAGATGAAACTCACTCAACTCACAGCTCTCACACTCTAATTTCTGATAATACAAACCTCTCCTCACTCATCTCAATTTATAACCAAGAGAGGAGGAGTAGGTGAAGTGCTAGCCATAATTGGCCAAGGTAGTGCCACCCTCACTATTTTCCTTTAGTGAGTTGGTGTAGCCCTCCACCACCTTCTTTTACAACATGGTGTTACCTACACTATGTGAATGGTGGGCTCATTACCATGTGGGTAGTGGATGGAGCCAACAACAACATCCACCTAATATAACACATCACTCATAATATTCATCGATGCTTCGTTAATTAGTTCACATTGATCAAATACTTTTAAAACTAAGCTTGGCCCCTAACAATGTACAATGACTCGCGATTATATAAAAAATACGAATTCAACATTATCATCCGTGCTAAGAGCTACAAAATAAAAATATATCCAATAATCTTCTCTAATCACTCATATCAATCTATTAAAACTTTCCCACTTTCCTAAACATGATTCGTTCATTGCTGAACTTTGAAATGTGTTCGTCAACGTCATTAGGATCTGATTGGGGGTCCTAAAATGGTGGGATATTGAAGAAAAATGTATTCATTATTATCCTTAAATGACATACTAAAGTAAGCCTCATCATTTGACCCAAAGACCCGCGGCTAGATGAATTTTTTTTTTTTTTGCCTTCATATTCTATCCAATAAATTAATAATATTACATAACATGTAACTCCCTATTTCTTATGCACATATGAGTCAAACCAGGAAGAGGGTAAATTAAATTAAATTTTTTTTTCAAAATGAAATATTTGAATGTGTAAATTCAAAATGCACAATATAAAATTCAAGCACACATTAATTTTTTAGGTATGTTATTGTGCATGAATTATGTGCACAAATCATATATGGCTGGAGTTGAAATTGCTACATTATATTTTTTTGGTCTGTTGTGTGATAGGTTTGTTTGTGTGTTTCTAAACATCTATCTATACTATTATAAAGTGAACAGGAACTTTGGTGTCCTGAAACTTTGTAAAATAAATTATGGTAACTCAAAACATACGTAAAATATATTATGGTGACTCAAGGTATAATATAACTCACCTTAAAATTAATACCTCACTCTTTCTTTCCACTATCAAAACCTTCTTAACTTTCATTACTTTCTTTCCCTTTCTTTATTTGTTTTTTCCTTCCTCTTGTTCCCAACTCTTCCTTTTATACAAGATGCAAGGCTTGCTCAGCAAGCTTTAGGTGACACGTAGCCACCCACGTACCCCCCTAATTTAGCTGCTATCACTAAGCTCTACAATGGATAAGTTTAACTTAGTTATTTATTTATACTTTGACCCCTAAATTCTCAATAATTATATTATTTTACAAAATTGCACCTAATAATACAAAGTAAATCGTATATTTTCCCAACTATGATCAAATAATATTAGTATAAATTTTACAGAATAATTAAAAATTTGGGTTGTTACACAAAGAGATAAATAAAAGAAAAAAAAATATTTATTTCAGTATAGAAGAGATGACAGCATCAGGAAAATATATTTATTTAAGTATATTTATTTCGAGAAAATCGACTAAAGGTGCCGAAAGCACGTTCAGTTGAGATCCAAAAGGTAGATCCAGATAATGTTGATCGACTATGTGAAAGACTTCGACGTGAGATTTCCCAAATGCACCGTAGGTTAGCCCGCGATATGAAACTATCTATACTTAAGTCGGATGCCAAGAAGAAAGGAACAACACCAAATGCAGAGGCTATCAAAGAGGATCCTACACTTCTCTCTGACCCTGAACTCTCAGATTGTTCGGACTCTGAGATTGCCGATTTGAGCGAGGATTGGGCATCTATCTATCTACTAAATTATATTAGATTATCCATAATTATGTACTGTGTGCATTAAAATAACTCTTTCGGCAATGAGTTTGTGAAAGGTTTGTCTAATATTTGTCTATGTAACTGTTAATTATTGTACTCGTCGTTTTATTTTATGTACTGTGTTATGTTGAATATTTCCACAAATTATTTTTGTGGGATACTTATGTTTGAACTAGCTACGTCGTTCTGAAGTATTGTAAGTGTTTTAGTCATACCTTTATTTTGTTTCCCCGTTCGTAGTAGTAATTAGCAAATTAGATACTTTGTATATGTTGTGTGAAGTTTTATTTAAATATTTCTTGGAAACAAATATTTAAGGAAACAAACAAGATCTCTGAACTCATTCATCTGTTCAACAGTGATAACCAAAAAAGTTATTACCCTTCTCCGTTGTGCACTCTTTCATCTCTCTTCTCCTCTCTTCGGTTTCGTCTATGTGTGTTGGGCTAGGGAGTAGGGCAAAAACGTGTATTCAACAAAAAACAACACTGACAAACCAAAAAAACAAACATTTTTTTAAAACGGCTTTGCTAAAACCATATTGTAAAACAGTTTTCCTATAACCGTTTTATGTTTGAAATATATTTTCAATATAATATTTATCTTCAAAATTAAGAGTTTAAAAACAAAAAATATTTGGCACAAAACGGGTTTTGCAAAACCATTTTAAATTAACGAGAAATAATTACAAATTAAGTAAAATCGGCTTTTCAAAAGCCAATTTTATGCACAAAAAAGAAAATCTTTTTTTATTCAACAAAAAGGGCAGTGGAAAAGCCATTGCACCCAAGAATGGGAATAAAGATAAACACCTACTCTAGAGTGGGAATAAAGTTTTGAAAATGGCATAGTCATGGAAATTCGCTGGGCCAGTTCATGTGAAAATCATGGGCCATAATAATCAAATCACTCTGTTTGATTTGATTATTATATATTATTATAAATTATTGTTACATATATTTGATATTGGTATATAAAAAATAACAATCACTCTAATTATTGTTACATATATTTGATATTGGTATATAAAAAATAACAATCACTCTATTTGGTTTGATTATCTTTAAAATGATACTAATAATTTAAAAAATATAATCAAACCAAACAAAGTAATTATTATTTATTATTATATGTATTTAATATTGGTCTCATTTTAAAAATATGATTGATATCTTTTTATTGGTATCAATTTTATAAAAATAAAATTTATATATATTAAAAATTATATATGTTTTATTAAAATAAATATAATGAATAAAATTAATTATTTTTATTTTTATTTATTTATTATAAGTGTGTGTGGATGTGTGTGAAAGAGAGAGAGAGTGGAGTGATGTGGGTGTAAGTGTGTTAGAGAGGGAGAGAGAGAGAGAGAGAGAGAGAAAAGAGTGTGAGTGTGTGTGATCTCTGACGCTAAGCCTTACCCTTTTTTGGGCCACGGGGTCACTGCTGTGACTCCCTATTGTGTTTTTTATTGTGCTTTAAATGACACAGTTTTATCTTCTTCTTTTTTATGTTCTTACTATGTTTTTTGGCATCATAAATTACACTTTACCCTAACTCTTAAATCCTAAACCCTAAAATAAAAATAAACAAATTTTAAGAATTAAACCCTAAACAATAAATTTTATCCCTAAACCCTAAAATAAAAAAAAATTAAGCATTAAATCCTAAATCCTAAACCTTAAAATAAAAAAAAAAATTAAGAATTAAAGTAAAAAATTGATCATTTTATATAAGTATTTTTTGTTATTGAAAGCATGTTTTCAAAACACGTTTTCAAAACACGTTTTCATGTTGTGCGTTTTTCAATTGCGTTTTATTAATTGACGGGATAATTAGTAAACGTGCAATTTGTAACCACACGACCTTAATTAAAAGCGCGTTTTGTAAACACATTTTCATGATTTTGTTTATTTTGTCTGCTTGGACCACAAAAATGCTGAAAGCGTGTTTTGTAAACACGCTTTAGCTTAGTTTGGGAAATTTCGCTAAAGTAGACTTAGTTTGGGAAATAAATTAGTATAGGGGCATAGTTTGGGAAAAACCCCGTAAAAATTCCTTACTCAAAAAAAAAAAAAATCAAGAAAAGTAAAAGAATATAAATCCAATTATAAAAAGAGAAAGAAGTCTTCTTATCATAATACCAAAGGCAAACAAACCACTAACTCTGCAAAAACAACTTTCCAAAAGAAAGATAAGTCCTCAGCAAAATGTTACAAGTGTGGTAAAATCGGCCACTATGCTAACAAATGCAAAATTAAGCAAAAAATAAAAGAATTAAATATTGATGAAGGTTTAAAAGTTTAGCTTTATAAGCTTATGATGAATTCGTTTGATTTCAAAGATAGTTCTGATAAAGACAGTGATAATCTGGCAGAATTATATTCCAATAGTGATACCTCTTCCTATGGAGAACCAGAACAAAAAGGTTGTAGCAATAGATGTTGCAATCGTAACAACCTCAACACTGAATCTAATTATTTGAAGACTATTGTTGAAATGAATGGTCTTTCGACCGGCCCCAGTATTAATGTTCTTACTGACGAACAAAAATTTGTTTTAAATCTCATTGATCAAATTAAAGATCAAGAATTAAAACTTAAAATGCTTGAAGCCTATCAAAAGACATAAGAACAATCTTTCGAAGATAATATGCAACCCATTCATTACAGTCTTAGCGTGGTAGTTTAACTCCTTGAAAATACCGAAGTTCCTGCAAATCTTAACGATCTCCGTAGATAAGTTAATCTTCTTAAAACAGAAATAAAAGAATTAAAATTCATCGATATCAGCATAATTTGGACTTAATCCAAATAAAACAACAAATCTCAGCCATATCTAATCAATAAAAAATAAAGCAAAAGTTGAAGAAGTTAAGGAAGATTCTACTTCTAAAATCAGTATCTTATGTTATTAAATCAAATAACATATCATAAATGGTATATTAAAATAACTCTAGTTAGTGACTGAGTGGTTTTTTCAAAATATTCAGAAGGTATGAAATATTTTTTAATGTAATTCATATCAGCTCTACTATCAACTAGATCAATGATATCTTTCATAACAAACTTGTTATTTATAACCAGAGTTATTTTAATATACCATTTATGATATGTTATTTGATTTAATAACATAAGATACTAATTTTCAGAAATAGAATCTTCTTTAACTTCTTCAACTTTTGCTTTATTTTTTAGTGATTAGATATGGCTAACTTTATTTTTTATATTCTTTTAAATAGACAAATTTGCTAAAGATTTTTGGAGGCATTGCAAAAAATTCGTATAACACGAGACAAACAATCTCCATTTATAAAATATTAATAATGCAATAAAAATAAACGAAACAAAGATAAATATGTTGGAACAAATAAACTAACATGGATCAAGCAGCACAGTGGCGGAAATATACATTTTGGCTAGCACTGCATGCTATCAACATTTGTAGAGTCAAAATAAAAATAGACAAAATGTCTTTTAGGATGAATAATTTGTTTGAGACAAAATTAGTAAATCTTCATTAGCAAAAATTCTTAATTTGCATATTTGTCTCCCGTATTGGAGTTTCTCCAAAAACAACTTAGTATTTAAAAAACTTTTTTATAAAATATAATTTTAAATTTTTTTTATATAAAAAAAAAAATCACAATGAAAATTTCATGCATTTATGATGAACACACAAAATGAAAATTTTAATAATGTAAGGCCGTTTATAAGACTCGTGGTATCCTATTATATCATAAAATCATTGAGTACAAATTAGCTATCATAATTATATGACGTGTGTAAGAGGAGTTAATTTGAGCCCACTAAATTAATGGACCCAATTCAAAGGTCCAAGATTGGTGGGCCTAGATTTATCGCCATCAAACAGGTCAGATTGCTATAAGCCTCGAAAGAGTTCGGATCCACGAACTTAGAGACTTACTCGGGCCCAAACTCGAGAGGGTATTGAGCAAGCTTAGAGATTCAAGGCACTCGGGCTTCGAACAGATTCGATCGCAATCTAGAAGTCGCTTCGTTAATGAGTCCCAAAACACTTGCGGGCTCGGAGCTTTCCGGGATTTACACACCAAAACCATGGGCATAATGGAGTTCGAACAAAGGACCCGATCCCGAGGACGGTGAGTGGAGATAAATTCACTCTTTGGTTAAACTAGCTTATACCCGGGTCGAGGTGGCACGATCTAGGGGGTCCCTGCGACTTGGCAATATTTGTGGCAGGGCATTCTCTTGAACTACCCCTGACCCTTCTGCAGCAGGATGTCCTCTGGGACTACCCCTAACCCGTTGAGATGATTGGGGATCATTGGTTTAGTGTGGCTAAGAAAAAGGGTTCGCCGAGAGATTGATCTCCTCTTCAGGGTTTTCCGCATCCTCACAAAAGTCACCTTTTTGGACAAGGTTGTTAAAGAGAATATTTCCCATGTACCTTGCACATGGCCTCCATCCTACATCATGAGGTACCTATAAATAGCACCTACCCATAGCTTTACAAGGGATAGATTTTGGAGAGATAACTCTTAGGAAAAAAACTAATTTTCTTTCTCCATTATCAACCTTGAGAGTGAAAGTGGGAGATCCATAGGAGAGCCTTGCTATTATTCTCTCTCTAACTATTTTGCCTTATTCTTTACGCAATCTCTTATCTTCACCATCTCTTTGCTTTTGTGTTCTTAGTTGTGACTATTAAAGAATCTAAGCCTCTCATCATTTTGTAGAGAATTCGAATTTTTCTTCGAAGATCTTCGAATTTTCCAACGACGTTCTTGAACTCTCTCATATATTTGGCGACTCTGCTAGGAAGGCGAATTGGTTAATAGTCTCAACAAGATCCGGAATCTACACAACTCCGGTGAAGATGGCTAGAGAATAAGAAGTTCATCAACAAGGCTCTTTCAACGGTGGTGATGAGATTACTCAAGTTCAAGATGCACCTCTCATTCTTGAAGCCATTTAAGGACTCCAACACACTCAACAAGAGATTCTCACGACCCTTCAAAATCTCACCCACACCATGTTGGTGATGGGTTCGAATTTCGTACGTCTAGTAATAAATGGAGGTCAAATTAGCACCGGCAAACATCAACAACTTCACGGTGATGTTGGGAATGGTCAAAACCATCAAGACCCACCTCCAATGCTCCTTGAAGTTGCCCAAAATGGTGTGCAAAATCAAGTGCTAGGAGGAACAAGTCATGGTCAACCTGTGGCCCATGGAGCACAAAATCACGCACCTGGAGGATCAAGCCATGGTCCAGTGGTGGTTTGAGGAGTTTCCAGCGCGATGAATGGTGTTCCAGCAGCTATGGAAGTTTAAGGAAGGCCTACAGAAATTTTTCTACAAAATGGTGCTTCATCCATGCCTATTTTTGTTCCACCAATTGTAAATTCTACTCATGCACCGAATGGGTCTTCTTTAGTTCCAATGCTGAGTTTGCAAGTCCAACCCACTATAGCCACGGCATGCAATAGACTTTATAGGACCCAATTCAATGTCCCACCATCAAATGGCTTGTCCATAGGTGCCGATAGCCAATATCGTCATGTGTCTTCACCGGTGGTGAATTCTTAACACCCAAATGGCCAAGTCGCTCCAGGCTTGGTCTTTGGGTCTACAAGTCGAGTTTCAGGAATACCACCATCAAGTTCTCTCCCTCAACAATTTCTCACTCTCGCTAATGTGCAAGCCATGTTCGATCTCGAACGAGGCAAGAGGACTTTACCCTCTTTGCCCGATCTGGATGTCAAGCCACCATACCCTATTGAGATGTTAAGTTATCCATACCCGGAGGGGTACGTAGTGTCGAAGTTCATCAAATTCGATGGCAAACAAGGAAATGCTCGAGAACATGTTGTTCGGTTCATCGAGACTTTGGGGATTCATGGTTCAAATCATGCCCTTCGACTGAGAGAATTCTCCAAGTCTCTCACCAACCGAGTATACAGTTGGTACGTTAAGTTGACCCCAAACTCTATCCGAAGTTGGGAGGAGATGATCAACAAATTCCACGCCAAATTCTTTAAAGTGGCTGAGAAGGTAACTACACTTACCCTATGTAAGGAAAAACAATACGAGAGTGAAGACATTCTCGAATATGTGACGAGGTTCCAAGACAAAGTTGTGGACTATCACGAGGCTGTAGAGGAAAGCTACGTAGTCCAAATATGTGTTGAAAGGGCATTGAATGGGTACACGATGCTTCTCGTTAATCACAAATTACCCACATTCTCAGCACTAATTAAAGCATCTCGGAACATCAACATACCTCAGTCTCAGGAGATTGGGTTTGAGACTAGTTATAAAACCAGCTTCAAAACATCTCGAGGACCTTCTGTTACTGCGGCTTCCGCGTCTTCTACCCGAAAGTCGCAGGGGGAGGAATTCAGAGGTCAAAAGAGGAAAAACTGCAAAGATGACACTCATTTTCCATGTATTGTTGAGGAAGTAAAGGCCTTAGTTAAAGAATGGGTGGTAGACGGGGAACTGAAGTTGCTTCATATCGAAGAGCTTTTGCCAAAGAAGGACCGCGAGGGCCCTAATTATTATGTTTTCCACCGATCACTAGAACATCTTACAGAAAAGTGTCAGACGCTTAAGAAGATCTTTAGAAAGAAAGTCGAAACAGATGAACTAGAGTTCAAAAAATAGGGGCCCTAGGATATCTTAGAAGGCATGGCAATGGTGGCTCATAACGGCCACAACCTGAGCAGCTGGTGAAAGTTTTCCAAATGACCTCACAACTCTAGTGACTAAGAGCAAGGGTCGACATTCCGTAAAAGAATTCCGTAGAAGAAGTCTATCCATTACATTAATAATTTTTATTTACTGCATTGTCCAAGAAGTTTTATCTTTTTTATGTTATGAAGAAATTTGTTTCCTCCATATTGTGTATCTCCATTAGTTTCTCTATATTATATATCTTTATTGTGTTATGTTGCCTGAGACAATTTTCAATTTTTGTTGCCCCTTGAAGAAGAAGGAGGAGTAGTAGACTCTATTACCAACATGAAGGGACCTTTCTTGACACAGTAAAAGTGTACTCCCACTTGGACTTCCGAGGGATAACCTTTGCTTCCATTAGTTACCGAAGTAGAGTGGACTCCCATTCGAATTTCCAAGAGACAGCGGCCATTAGTTGTTGAAATAGTGTGTGCTCCCACTCGGACCTCTGAAGAGTAGCCATTACTTCCATCAATGCAAGCTTCGAGGGTCTTTCTTGCTGAAGTAGATGTGCTTCCACTCGGACCTCCGAAGAGCAGCCATTGTTTTCATCAATGCAAGTTTCGAGGGTCTTTCTTGTTGAAGTGGAGTGTGTGCTACCACTCGAACTTCCGAAAAACAGCCCCTTACTTTCGTTAGTGCAAGCTTCGAGGGTCTTTTTTGTTGAAGCAGAGTGTGTGTTCCCACTCGGACTTCTGAAGAATAGCCCTTGCTTCCATCAGTGCGAGCTTCGAAGAGCTTTCTTACTAAAGTAGAGTTTGTGCTCCCACTTAGACTTTTGAAGAACAGATCTCGCTTCCATCAGTGCGAGCTTCGAGGGACAGCCTTTGCTTCCATTGATTGCCGAAGAAGAGAGTGTACATCCACTCGAACTTCCGAGGGACAGCTTTGCCTTTGCTCAGACTTCT